CTAAAACGCCGAGTAGATGAACTCCTGATTGCCGATCATGACTTCGTTGCCTTCGCACGCAGTCGCCTGGACCTTGCGACGCAGGAGCTCGATTGGGTCGCGTCGATGGAGTTCCCACTGAATTTCAGCCTCGACGAACTCGTTCTTGGCCCGCGCCAGGTCCATCAGGCTTTCCTTCGATTGCATGCGAATGTCCGCACAGCGCACGAGCAGCTCCTTGGTCGTGACGCGGGGTAGCGTGTCGAGCCTTGCGTCCTCCACTCGCTCGATCGTTTGATACGGCAAGATGCGGCGCCGTGCTCCCAACTGTTGTCTTTCGACGTTCCCTGTCAATTCTCTCGCCACGCTGTCCTTACTCGGCTTGCTCCGCGCCGCGAGAGCATGGACATTTCGCTTCTGCCATGCTGATACCTGCCACCCGAATGCTTGAGGCATTGCATCCCCTTGTTGAGTCTGTCTACCTTTCGGGCAGACGTGGCAGACTTGGGACGCCGCGCTCGGCACGCAATCACGTCCATCCGATCCTTGTGTTCTTGGATTCTCTGGCGGCGCACCTCCTCTTCGACTACTTGTTGATCCGAGTCGATCAGTGCCTACGGACGGCTGACCACGCGTTCGTTGTAACCCGGGGCCTCTTTCGCACCTGGACCAACCGCTTCTCGTGCTTGGAATTGAGCGACTTGACGACGCTCTCGACGGCATTGTCGTTGCGCACGCGACTGGTCGAGCTGGTGACACAAACAAAGACGATTGTCTGTACCTGAGGGTCAAATCGATCGAGTCGACTAAGGGCAGGTCGCACTTGACGGCAACTTTGGACATGAGCTTTGTGTTTGCCACTTGCATGTGTTTATGGTCCGCCTCGATCACGTCTCGAATGTCTACATTCGAGCTCGATTCATTCATGGCGGTGGCGCGCCACGCAGCATGAGCGGTCGTACCAGGGGCCAAAGCTACACTGCCCACTTGAAATGTCTGCTTGCAGAACGCCTCCGTCAGCTACACAGTGGTCAAAGTGCGCGCCCCGAATCACTTCGTATCTGCGTGCCTTGTAATTTCGCTCCACGATACGTCGGGTGTGCTGGGCATTGAGTCTTTCGATCAATTGGTCACCGGCGCTGCACCCGGTCGACGGTGCTCCCGCCGTGGGGATGCCTCGTCCACAACCATTCTACGCAATGCACTGTGAGAGACCTGATGCGATCTCGCATCCAGTTTCAACGGGATGGCTCAGCCAGGCTGGCGCAGTCAGCACGTCCACCGCTCGCTGGGTCAGCCGCCTAAGCAAGATATGACGTGGGGTGTCGTAAGGGCACGAGGCAGCGCTGGGGCTACCTCGATCGCTCAGCTTGAATCATGTTGCCCAGCACAACGTTGGCCTCGAACGGGTTATCTTTCAATGACGCGTCAGTGGCAACCTTGCTCTTTTCGCGGACCCAGCACCGCTGATCGTTGGCGAGGCTGTCAAACGATTGAATCGTAGTGTTCCACGTGGCACCCTCCCAAACCGCCACGTCACTTGCCGTAGGGGGAACGGTCGCATCGGCGCCCCCGCCGTCGTGAAGGACCAACCCGAGGCGCAGCTCCCGCCTTAGCCTCTCCATTTCTAGACCACACGTCGACATCATGCATCACGACCCCCTTCCCCCCTCTGCACCTTCTGTTTCAACCCGATCGCCAAGTACTCTGAGCAAATCCGCAGCGTCCGAGTCGTCGTCCACATAAAGAGGCTCGGGGACAGTGTTGCCGTCGATTGCATACCGCAGAAGCGGCACTTTGGTCGGCGCGGGAAACGTCGCCGACTTCGATTGCTTGTAGTGCTATATGGACAATCACATTCGATGCATCGCGACGTGCAGCGTACCAATTCCTTGACGGTTTTGCGAGTGGCCTTGCCCTTCTTTGCGCTCCCCGTGTCCCCCTCGAATGCGACGGGCGGAGCAGCATCGTACCGCAACTTGCGCCCCATTTCTCGTTCGACCGTCGCAATATCGTCGTGCGAAATATCCGTGCCATTCAGTCGTTGCAACATTGGAAACCCTTCACGTCGTGGCACGTGCACTCCTGCCGAGGTCACCACAGGACTCGCACGACCGTGTGCGCTCGATCTCTGTGGCCGTCTCGCTTTGAACAGAGCCTACAAAGAAACACATCCGCCACATGGATGACGTTGTGATGCAGAGAAGATGCCGTGCCTCCAAAAAGTAGATTCGATTCTGAACGAGCGGCATGGGGTTGTGATGGACGTTGAGGGACTCGAGTTGAGGCAACCTCGAGAGGGCGAGGACATCTTCGATGCAGTGCAGATGGTTGTGCTCGAGGTTTACAACACGCAGACGGGTGAGGCACTGGGCCACCGACTCTCCCGGGAATCGACTCATGTTGTTGTGGCTCAAATCGAGTTCTACCAGCCACGGCAAGTTTTGCACGGATGGAGGCAACTGCTCCAAGTGCAAGCGCGACAGCGTCAGGCAGCCCGTGGTTTCAGCGACGTGGAAGCTGCGCTTGGCGAGAGCTTTCAAATCCATGGCGGCATGTTTGTCGTCGTCGACGTTGCCGTCCGACATGTGAAAATGGGTGTGCCTGTGGCGGTTTCGACTCGGCTGGCACAGTCTCACACAGCGCGGGACGAAAGGACTGGACCAGATCATCCATGCGCACCACACCTCCGCTACAGCCATCTCACGAGCACGTGTTACACTAAGCAGTGCAGATGTGGTCTGCGTGTGCATGACCTTGCACGCGGGGTCAAGTGGCGAATATGAACACCATCATGCCGATTATCATCACCACCCTGTCAAACCAAAGTGGACATTGGAATGTCTCTGCACTCGCAACGTGCACGCGTTGGTCCTCGTGCGCTGGATCCGTGGCTTGCTCGTTCTTGTCTCCACTTCCTGCGGCCATCAACGCTCCAGTGCGGGAAGGATGAGTTGTACATGACATTCGTCACCACGTCCTCCAGGTCGCAGGGAACTTGGGAAGGGTAAACTTCGCACTCTTGGTTCATCTGAGGGCAATCGATTTGGTGAAGCAAGTGCTAGGTGCCAGCCTCTATTACACCTCGCTTTAGCCAGGGGATACGCATGTGGACGCGGCAGCTATGGGGATCATCCACCGCCTTGTACAATCCACGCCACGGCGTTGCGGTGCCGTTGGTCAACGTCTCTGCACGAGGGCGCGGCGATGCATCGACATGCTCGACGAGAAGACAGACATCGCTCTCGCGTTTGGACTTCCACCGCGCGTAACGGCTGTAACCGCCAATTTCACTTTTCCACATGGACCTCCTGGAAGCGTGCGAGAATGGCAATGAAGAGCGCGTGGTCGAGCTCCTTCTCGAGGCTGGGCCATCCAAAGCTCCAGCCTTGTTGCGGCAGGTGGATCATGGCGGGCGGAGTGCTTTGCACGTGGCGTGCCTAGGGGGCCAGCTGACGGTCGTGCGACTTCTCCTGGGGCGGACATGCCAAGTGTTTTTCCCAGGTCGTCGACGCGAAGAAGTCGAAGATTTAATCGTGCCATGCGGACACAACATTCGTGTCATCATGAAGCGAAAGGAGGACGCGCACGTGCCGTCGGCGCTGCTGCAACTCCCGTCCGACGTTGTCGTTCAACGCCACGATCTCGCCAACGGCACCACGTACCTGGACAACTACGGCAACGCCCCCATCCAATGCATCAGTTGCTTTGGATGCGGCTCCGAGATGAAGCACGTCCGCGACAGCATCGAGATCGCCTCCGAACTGTTGCGCAGTGGATGCCAATGCAACACGAGCAAGACGTCGAATAACTGGACGCCGCTCCACTGGAGCGCTTTCAATGGCCACCACGAACTGACGGCGCTGATGCTGAACCCCCAACTGTGCTGCACCGACCAAGCGAACGCTCTACTACCTGCTATACAGTTTGCGGTTCCTTTGGTGCAGTCCGAGGGGCTGTACCCTGTGGATGTCGCGGGCCGCATGGGGCTCCAGCTCCGTGATGAAATGGAAGCATGGAGACAGTCCGTTGTGCGTGAAAGGGCGTGTTCATATTCGGTCGATGGTTTCGAGATGGGATACCGAGAGTGGCGTCTTCATTTGGACCACGTGGTCGTCGTCCAAGTATTTGTGCAGGACTTCATCGCAAATGCCCAACGCCCTGGTGAATACGCCAAGCAGCTTGCCGCGTGCCTCGACACTTCAACGACCGTCAAGGCGTCGAGCCGACGCAACCGACTGCTGCCCTTCTCCGAGACGGACGTGCTTCGGTAGGTTGCTCACCTGTCCGACCTCATTACATTTGTTGTGTGCTAGATACGGTCAGCACTTGTTGTACTGGTGCGCCGGGCTAAACCAGGTCGAGGCCGTGGTGGCGCTGCTGGAAATCGAATTCACAACCGACGACGGTGCCACGAAACGACTCGATCCGCTGGCTCATGTCGAGTATGACGTCGCCAAGTCGCAATCGGCGCTGCACTTCGCGTGCGCCATGGGCCACACAGCCATAGTGCAAACACTGCTCTCCCGCGTTGTGTCGCACTACACAACGACGCTGACCCAGAGCCCGTCGTCATTGTCAGCGGTCCCCAGCAAGGTCCACCCGATGCTGGGCACCTTTCATCAACGACGCATGTCCACCAAGGACATTCCATTCACAGCGCTTCCTGGATGGCTCAACCACCGCCTCGAGTCGCCTCTGTACCTTGCTGGCCTGTACAACCGCGCCGAAGTCTCAACGACCCTCCTGTCGATCCTGCCGTCGTCCACGATTCAAGCGGAGATCCACCTGCAAAATATTGAAGGCTCGACGCTGCTCGAGACGGCCAACGACTCGGTTCGCACGGTGCTCAACCTGCCGACAACGTCGTCGTTCCCCACGGAATACGTCCTCGTCTTTCGGCGTAAGCACAGGCTTTTTCGCAAGACACTTCAAGACGTTCTCGAGGAAGAGAGCTCTCGCGCTCCGTCACTGTTGGCCGCCACCGTCGGCTCCCGAGAGCAGCTCCGACGGTACCGCGAGTCCGAGGTATGGATTGTCGTGTAACCAGGACTTGGATTCTTGACATGCTCGCAGTGGTTTGACTACGTCGCGGTGGGGGCGACGGACACCGTCCTCGCCCAGAAAGCCGAGCGCATGCAGCTGATGGTTCGGCGGCGGGGATCCACCAACATGCAAGTATTCCATGCAAGTGCCAAGCATGACTTTGAGCCGTTCCGATCGCTGCAGCGCCAACTGGTTTGAACAACACCGTGATGCGAGCGTCGTCAGTGATCGGCGTAGGTGGTCCTCAACTTGATCCGCGACAACGTCAACCTCAGGCGCCATCTCGAAACGCAAACCATCTTTGATATGTTTCCACTGCACGATGCAGTTGGCCACCGAGCGATCGCAGTGCACTGGGTGCTCGGCCGCGGCTGGCTGGGGCAATTGCAGCCGTGGCATGCACTTCGCCAGTACTTGTTTGAAAGCCCAACGCACACTTATGACGTACACGATTGCTTCTATCGTCCGGCAACCATTCATGCATTGGTTGTCCTTTGTAGATGCTATGGCCGCTACGGACGTATTTTGGTGTCAAGCATGCATTGCACATAGCGTGGATTCAATTTTACACGTCGTACTTGCTGGTCGTGTCGATTCCGTGTGTCGTTGTCGAGGTGCGTCTTTGACCCACTCCCCCCTGCAGCACACGAATGGACGTATCGCTGTGGTTTGTAGGGTCTCTGGGCATTTAAGACCTTGCCAGAGGCAGTGCCCCCCTTGGTCATGGTTGTGCTCATCTGGATTACATGTCTCGTGGAGCGATGGAAGCGAAAACGTGCAGAGATGCTGTGCAATTGGGGTTTTCCTGTCGCGGCGGACGGCGGGGTCAACAACCTCGTGCGGGCCGAGTTTCACGGCGACTTTGTCTTTGACACGACCACCAACGAAGTTTGTGGCATCCTCCATCCATGTATTCGTTGACCGACAAATGTCGACATAGCGTGATGTACAATTTCCCCATGCCGTGCACATGCTGCGCATCTACTTGGGCGCGCCGCTGCTCCTCGGGATGGTCGCGATGGCCGTGCTGTCGTTCGTGGGCATGAAGTATCTCCGTGCGCAGCAAGCCGCGTCGACGGTCGGCGTAGACGACTCGGATGCATTCATGCCTGTCATCTCTGCGCTGAACGCGGTGGCCATCATCTTGCTGGATAAAATGTATTCCAAGGTCGCGTACGCGCTCTCTCATTGGGAAAACCATCGCACGGTCAGGTAATTTCCACCACCCGTTCGCTTCTTGCCAAATGTGTGGCGCTGACCTGCTGCGAACGCCCGTCGAGAGCCTGCTTCAACCTTTCCATCCAACTCGTGTAGTGACTTTGAATCGATGCTGGCCATCAAGTTGTTCACGTTCAAGTTTCTCAACGCTTTCATGTCGCTGTTCTGGACGGCATTTGTCGACCGCGAGTTCGACCGGCTCCGCTACGAGCTGTTTACGATCTTACTCTTTCGACAGGTCCGTCACGATGCCATGGCTGTGGCGTTGATGCGATGTGTGTCCAGGCGTCGTCCATTGTCTTGTCCAACCTGCTCCCCCTCGTCCTCGTACGGCATCGATGGCAGCAGCGCGGATTCCGTGTGGATGACCTGTTCCAAACCATGCCACCACCATTGTCGACACGTACACTACCCACATGCTCGGTCCTGGTCTGAGCCTTCCTGTCCAGCAGCGACATCGCCTGTGACGTCTGCCGATGAAGACGACGTGCGTGTTCCAGCAGGCATCGAGATGCAGCAACTCATGGCGGCCCCGTATCATGTCTTGGACAAGCAGGTACGCCGCATGCATACCAGTCAACGCGACCAGAATTTGGATCTAGATTGACGCGATGATTCGCTTTGGCTACGTCACAATGTTCCTGACCGTGTTTCCGAGTGCCCCGTTCTTTGTCGTGCTCACCAACACGCTCGAAATGCATCTGGACGTCCAGTGCAGCTTGGAGGCGTACCGTCGGCCGTCGTTCGATGGCGGCACCGAAATCCCCGTCTTCCAGAGCATCCTGGAGTTTATGAGTTTGTACGTTGTCCGTGACACTTGCAATCGTGGAATGTCCCATGTGACGTTGTAGTGCGGCTGTGACGGTCAACTGCGCGTTGCTGTACCTGAACATGGACGTCCAGGCGTATCTACCGACGTCATCGTTCGCCGCAGAAACCGCAGCGTCGACTACAAATCTGTGGATGCTTCTTGTCGTCGAGCATCTCGTCCTGGGCATCAAGGCGGCGATGGCGCTTGGCATTCCCGACTCGCCGCAATGGGTTAATGCGCACTACGCGAAACTGGCCAAGACTCAAATGATTGCCCCGCCGCCGATTGTCGAGCTCCATCCAGCGGACCAAAGAGATGTCATGGACAGCGGCGTGCACGAGTGCAGCATGGACACGACAGTTGACGTAGCATTAAGCACTCTGCAAGACGGCCAGACGTTTGCCCTGCCTCCTGGGGACTCGTCATCGAAGAGTTTGCCGACTGGAAACGCTTCGACAGCACCGGTATCGCTGTCGACGGCGGCCGATGCGCTGGCTGTGTGCAATGCGCCAACCTTGGACAAAGAGGCACTTCGACAGCGCGAGCTTTCCACAGATACAATCCAAGCGCTCCAAGTCGAATTGGCCGCCGCGCGAACCGCCCGGGACGAAGCCCTGGCGCGAATCCGCAACCTCGAGGCATGCATGACAAAACACGGCACATGTGGCTTTTGCGACTGTGGCGTGCCATGTGAAGTCAAGTGCATCGAGTGCAAGGCGTCCATGTGTCGAAGTTGCGATGCCAAACAACACGATGGGGTGGCCAGTGGCAGTCACATTCGCATTGATGTCAGCCGTGTGGGGCATGTGGTGCACGGCCGCCTGGCTCAAGTCGAGAAGCTGCTTCATTTACCTCACAACAATTAGTCTGCAAAACATGGCGACGTGGCTCGGTTTCGTTGCACATCCATTTTGGATACGTGTTTGGACTGACTTAAAAGGCGATGGACACGATCTACTCGACTACTCGACGGGCAATCCACTCGATGTCGAGAACACACCCCGAGAGAACGGTCATGTTTGCAATCGGGCATCGCGTCTTGACTTCAGCCGCAAGCTGGTCAACTTGCTTCTGGGTAGCCGACGTGTACACGAGTGCTTGACCCCATATTCGGTCAGGACGGGCGAGTGGAGCATCGTCATGGTTTCCGAGCGGGAGATGCAGCGCCCCCTGCTTTTTTCGACTGGCTTGAACGTTGAATTCGATCTTTTCAATCGTCATACGAGGTGTCATGTGCCTGGCGACGAATTGCGCAGTCGCCAATTCGCATCCGCACAGCGAAGTCAAGAAGAGCTCGACAGGTTGCGGCGCAGTGTTCGAGCCACCCATGGCTTTCGGGATATCTGTCGAGATGGATATCCCATCAGGTCGCTTCATGGTACACTTGACACCCTCTCCATGGCCCACAAGATGGTACGACATGCACGCCTTGCTGGTCAAGCACCGGCCTGGGCCGACGCCACGCCACCTTGCGCCACGACGACACAGCATGTTACCGAAGCGCACCGAAGGACGGAATGTCCGACGTTTATCCGGATACGTGGACAGTTACATATCTTGCACGGCCATGCTTCAGTCGGATCCTCGAACGTTTGTGGAAGCGGAGGGCCGCGGAAGTATGACGTCTGGCACCTTGCTTGCGATGCCGATGCTGATCATCAACATGGGCGGCGAAATGTTGTACGTGCTGGACCAGCGCCTGAAGGCCCAAAACATTGCGGGCGACAAGAGCGTCAAAGGTGTCGTTGGATGCAGCCACGGTCGGTCGTGACTGGATCGTTGTAGTGCTCGTCGACGTTGTCAAGACCATGTTCAACACCAAGTTCATTTCGGAACTCTTTCGACCCCATCACATGTACTCGAACGTGTCGACGCGACAGATCTTTGACCGGTTGGCCCATTCGTCCATCATGCGGCTCAACCAGTCGAGCATGGACAAGGTGCGATGTGTGCGCAATGGCATGGCAGGTCAGACCATGTTGTAGCTGTACGGCTTGATGCGGATGGGGTTCAAGTACAATATCCTGGCGTGCTCGTCTGCGGACCAACTCGTGCAAGTCACGATGAACCATCTTCGTTCGATCAAGGAGATAGTCTCGACGGACGAAGCGACGGCGCTCATCGAAGAAGCAATTGTCCTCACGGCAAACGTATACGTCCATGCCCATCTTCGTTTTCATCCTCCCTGGTAGGTGTATGGCACGATGAGCCACGGCAATTTTCTTCTGCTTAAACAAAGCTTGTGCCGATTCTTCCAAGACGTTCGTATCAAAGTGTCGCTCTTCCTGCAGACCGAAATCCAAAACGGCGATGGAAGCTTTGTCCTGCGCTCCGACGGACCCGTCGCCACGGGCGGCGACGTCCCTGGCACCATTCGGTGCGTCCTGGGACAGCGCGATTTTTCTTACCCTTCCCACCGTGGATATCAGGTACTACAGCTCGTCCGGCGACATCGAAGACGAAGACGCGATCGAGTTGGACAATGCGCGCGGTGTCATTCCGTACGACGACAAGCCCATCTTGTCGCGCGATCCGACGCTATGTCCGTATGGAGAAAATTTGTACGATGACTAGGTCGTGCATGCATTTAGCTCACGCATTTGAAGGTATGTACCGAACGCCAAGCCTGGCCTCAAAGCGGTGCCAAAGACGGGCCAAGAAATGGCAGCCGAGGCGAAGAAATCCGGCTCAAAGGACGCCGGAGACGGCAAAGCCCTGTCACCGCCAAAACAATGGAAAGCCACGGCGGCAGACGGCCTCAACCTCCTGGCCGACCTCTTGGGGGCAAAGGACACGAACGACGCCAAGCCGTGGAAAATCAACTTGTTCGCGGACGATCCCGACGAAGAGTGCGTGCGAGATCCAGCCGTCCACTGCTCTCATCGCAATCGCGTAGGGACTCGAAAGAAGCCGACAACGACGTTGAAACCATCCTGATCGATGCTCTGAGCGACCGCAAGACGACTCGAGCGCTGCTCGACGAATTTGACGATGACAAACCCACGCAAGACAAAAAAGGAGACGGCGACTCCGACGACTTGCTCAGCTTAATGGACTCGACCTAGTACTCGACATAACATCGGCACCATCGTCGCGCGGTCCTCGTTGTTTCCAGCGCAGCACACGGCACTACCGTTGAACGTGCGCGCACTTCATGCACTGCAAACGAGATGTGAATCCGTTGCGTTGGTGTGCGTCATCAGCGCCTACCTTGTACGACGTGACGCCTGCCGGCAACGCGAGCAACGTCCCACAGCTGGCGCAGTTGACTTTGATCATGGCTACAATCGGCGGCCTCAGATGCGCGAACGGGAGTGAGATGCGGCTTACAGTCAAAGCCATCGACGCGAGAGACGTTGTTGCATTGAGGGCACTGAATCGTCGGCTGGTGCGACTGGGCCTGAAAGGTATGGGAGCAATACCCGCACCGCATCGTTTTGGGGCGAGGGCCGGCGGGCGCGGTCGGTGTTGCATTGGGCTGCTTCAATCTAAAGCCATCGGACGCAACTAACCGATCATTCATCGCAACACGGATGTGATGGCGTACACATTGACGGCGTTGCAGAAGGGGCACTTCACGTCGGGCAGATCCAACCCCTCGGGCAAATGCAGCGGCCGGTAGCACTTGAAGCACGACACAGTTTTCGTCGAGGCATTCGACGCCGCCGCGGGGCCGCACCCCAAGGGAAGTTGGCAATGGGGGCATGGTACCAAATCCAAATACGCCATGACCTCTGCCGGAACAGGGACAATGCCAGAGCAGTGATGGCACGTAACCGGCTCGTCGTGTGTTGTGGTGGCGGCAGCAGGTGAGGCGGACCACGCGTCCGATGACCCATACCTTGTCGAATCGTTCGGAGTGGACTGTGATGCCCCGCGCGACGATCGGTGCAGCTCGTTGTTTTCGTGGGTCAGGTATGGCGCAGACGAGACAGGAGCGATCGGATCTGGCACCCCCGTCGTCGTTGTATTCGGCGGAAGGTTCAGCAACGCTTGGTCCAAGTCGTCATCGACGGTCGGCGCATCGAGTCCACGCGGACATGCGACGGAATCCTCGACAAACCCGACGGTTGTATCGGGCTTTCCTTCGTCGACTTCGTCCTCGTCATCGCCTTGGTGCGATGCCGAGTCATCGTTGTCCGTGGTAGCCACAACGTCTTGTCCGAGAAGGACATACACGCGTCGGGCGAGAGGATGCACACTCGTGCGCAGGCCAGCAACGATGCGGGAGTGGGTTTTGAGGAACAAGTGAAAACTCGGCGATGTGCAGCAGAGCTGGACGAGCAACGGGTACACGAGCGAATTGTTGGCGTCAAACGACGACAGGACGAGCCACTGCAGCAGTTCCGAGGGGAAGACAACCGTTCGGTGGCGCCCCAAATCGGCCGCAAGGGGCAGCAGCAAAGCCTGAACATCCGATGGAGCGCCCTTCGGGTACGCGGCCAACAACATCGACGACAGATGGTCCATAGCCAAACGCCACCGATTGTCTTCGTAAAACGGCGTCGCTGGCGCCGCACACCACAGGGCATGGAGGGTTTCCATCACGTGGAGGTGCACGGGAAGGGAGTCCTGGCGCTGCGCCAAACCCACGACGATATCCAAGAGGACATGCATGTCGTCGTGGGTGATTGTCGCGCCGCCGCCGTTCGACCCGATCACGCGGTACTGAATCAATTTCAACGAGTCGATCGTGAGTTGATCCGGCATGTCGTCGGACACGGCGGCGTGTTGTAGCAACATGTACAACTCGGCAAAGATTTCTGGCACGAGGACCACTTGCACGCGGATTTCGTGCAATTCGCACAGCGAGACAAGCACTTGGACAACGGGCGATGCGACCGCCACGTCGTACACTGGACTTGACAACGCGGACGATGACGAGTCGAGCACAGAGTACTCGTGGATGTAAGGCAGTTGGATAGACTGTTCCAGCAGCTGAGAGAAGAGCTTCAACGACCCCGACATGGCCACACGGAACGCTTTCTCTTTGTGCGCGATCGCATTCAGGATCCCGAGCAGTTCCAACAAGACTGTCGAATTGGCCTTGTTCGAGTCGACAAGAGATAGTAGCCGTGCGACGCCATGGCCATTCAAGAGGCGCTCCGTCGCCGACTTGTTGTGCAGGAGGTTGATCAAGATCGACTGGCACGCGTCGTGCTGTCCCAAGCTCTCCATCATGCACTCGACACCGTTTCCGTCAATCAAGGCCTGGGCGAGTCGAGACACGGCGCTCATCTCGAGCATGAGGTTGAGCCACACGGTCAGGTTGGCGCGATCCGTGGTTGCTTTGATCTGGTCGGGAACGCGGGTGGCTACATGCATCAAAGAATTGACTTCGCGCGTTTTCAACACCTTGGCCGAACGCATAAACGCCGTGAGGGCCATGGCACCGCTCTGTTCCGTTGGTGGAGCGTTGCTGAGCAACTCGACAAACTTGTTGCGCATGCGATATGCTGTCACTTGTTGCCAAAACGGTGCCAGATCCCAGTGCATCTCAATCGCAAACTGGACCAGCGCTGCCACTGCCAGTGGGTGTGACGGCAGGGCGCTCAAAATCGCTCGGGCGGTCGGCGGATCGAAAAACTCGATCGCGTCGGATGCGACCACGTCCCGGTTGACTCGCACCATCGTCGCCAGGGCCTCCACGCACATGCTACGCACTTGGACTTGCGACGACGACACAAGCAACCGCAGCAACGAGTTCCGGAAGCTGCTGGATTCGGGGGACGCCGCGTCGACAATGAGCTGTCCACATCCGATTGCAGCTACGAGCACGTGAGGTTGTGTCGTCAGCGCCATGATCTCGTTCAAGATGCGCAAGTTGCGCGTCTCGACGATGTGCGACCAAATCGGTTGCTCCTTGTACGTGTGGCCGTCCGTGAGGTTGCTCAGAATCCGTTCGGACATTGTCTTGGAAGCGGTCGCCGAGAATTCCACTTGGTACAGCAATGTCGTCACCAGCGCCGACGACACGGGAAATTGCTGCGCGTTCTGCGACAACGCGCACAAGATCTGCGCCGCCGCCATGTTGTCCTGGCTGTAGAGCTGGACTAGTCGATGGAACGATGGGAGGTCGCCAAGCACAGTGTTTTGAAACGCAGCGTGGGGCAGGAACGCCTGCAGGCACGAGAGGACAACGTCGACAGCGTCACGGGCCTTGAGGCCTCTCAACACGCTTACGTGCAACTCGCCTTGAAGGAGAAGCGACGTGAGGCGGCGGATGCCACACAGTGCAGACACCACCGACAGAATCGTGACGAGTTCGGCTGGGACGGCAGAGAACGCTCGGTCCAATCGTTCCGCCAACGCTTCGCAAAAGTCAATAAACGCTTGCTGACGGTGCAGGGCGCACCCGACAAACACGACTTTCCACGTGGGATGCGCCAGACCAACTTCGACGCATCGGAGGACAGTCATGGCGACGGACGAGTCCGGTTGGTCCACGAGCGTCGAGAAGATGTGTTCGTAAATGCCTTGGATAGTCGACACGTTGTTCCAAGCGGTCGTGGCAGCGCATTGCAGGCACTGGAGGACGACATCCCAGGTCAGGACGGGAAGGTCATGGCGTTGGATGCACGCCAGCACCGCCGTGAGAACGCTCTGGTCAAGCAGCGACGGCAAGTGCGAAGCATTGTGCACGATCTTCAGTGCCGCCGACAGCACGTCTCGGTCGGTTGACCCGTGCGCGAGTATTGGATGCAGCACCGACGTGTACAGCTCCTCCACGACGTGGGCCTGCAACTCAAGACGGCGACTCATGCGGTTGTACCCTGTGAGGTTGTCGACTGCGGCGAGTGCGAGCTTTTGCAACGAACTGTCTGTCGCGAGTTGGAACAGCGCCTTTGCACCGCGACGGGACAAGATAATGTCCGAGGAGTGTTCGCCCATGAGCGAGAAGAACACCAGGGCCGACTTTTTGCAGCTGCTTGACGAGTGCAGGTCGACCAGGATATTTTCAAAGCCCTGACCCGCTCCAAACGGAATGATCTCGTTCAGGACGGCGGGTGATGCTAGGGCCAGCTGCGATAGGGCTTGGCACGTGAGCTCCAACAGAGCCGGTTGGTATGTGAACATCGAGAGCAAGACGGAGATTCCTTGGTGGCCCACTACAGCTCCGGCGTATTCGACAGTACAAAACGCGATCACGATGGTAAGCAAGCCTTCTTGAATGACAATGTCGCTCGCGCCAGCCGCGAACGTCGACAGCCATTGCATGACAACGACAAGAGCGTTCGCTGCTGCAAGTGCGTGGACCACCGATGGATCGCACTGACCGATGGGACACATCGTCTGGAGGACTTTGAGCGCCGACTTTGCCACGGTTTGATCTCGCTGGCCCAAACAGTGCACCAAGGCTTCGATAACGTTTGCGTGCGTCGCGCACACGGTTGCGTACCGCAGGTGGTCGGTCACGAGCGCCGCCATCAACACAAGCGACGACGGTTGCGACTGAAAGTGCGGCTGGAGCGCATCAAACAACGGCCCGACCAACGCACGTTCGATGGGGTACTGCTGGATGAAATCAGACTGCAAACACACGGCGAGCGTATCGAAGCCAACGTCGAGGTCTGCGTCGGGGTTGGTCGCGAGGAGAAGCACGACTTGAGTCACGATCGACAGGCCGTTGTGACCCACAACTTCGTCGCGGCACTCGGTGTTGCCGGCTACGTACACGTGCAAGCATTTGGTTCCGTCCACCTTGGAGGGATTCGTCAGGTCGACCACGGTGCACGAGCCACTGCACCTTGACAGGGATGGACGCATCCGACGACGCACTCAAGAGTTGGCACAAACGCATCGTAGCTCCAACTCGACGCAGAACATCCTACACCGCCGCGACGCGTGAACGACCAAACAAAAGGCCATCGATCCGCCAACCTGTCCAGTAGTGCCTGTTGACTTGCACAAGTAAAACATGGTCCGAATCGCCTGCAGTTCGAGATCTTCGACCCCACTGGACAGGCATTGCATCAAGACCTTGCACGCGCCGGTTTGAGTGAACTCTTTCGCTGCCTGGAGCGAATTCCCGGCGTAGTAGAGGGTGAGCGCGTTGGCCAGCACCATCAAGACATGGATTTGAACATCCTGCGGGTCCGTGGGGTGAAGCATCCCGCACAACACTCCGATGCCTACGCACCCAAACGAATCGTTCAATCGGGTGGCAACGTGTACCACACACCTCCGACGCTTGCCAGGTCGTTCAGTTGCGTCAATAGCTCGGGGCCCATCGACCTGTCCGTCTCTTTGCGGCCAGTGCTCAATGCGGTCGCGAGTGCGCGCAACTTTTCGACTTTCTACATGCACGACACAGTCGTGAAGCAATCGTGCATTGTCATGGTTCCATGGCATGCCAACGGTACTTGCGGAATGGAGCCTGGTTGCAGGGCCAGCAGCGCGACCAAACCCACAATCGAGTAATAGTCGTTCGCTTGAGTGTTGCGGTAGCACCGGCGGCACACAGTCTAGTGGCGAGGTCACGTGTGCATCAAAGCAGGTCGTATCGACGATCGTACCGACCGTCCGTCCAAAGTTGGGACGGGAGCTTTAAAATTGGCACATTCGGCGCAGAAGAGACCGCCGCAGAGTCGGCAGTGGTGCTACACAACACCATCACGTCACAAGGACAGGACGCATGGTCGAGAAGTAGCATACACGACGGCGCAACACGCCAAACTTTAATCGGCACTGTGTGCAGTCTTGTCGCGCACTGTCCGGGACGACAATGGGCGGGAAGTACAACGAAAGAGCGGTGCCACCAAAGGACGACGTGCGAACAAGGGGTGCCGAAATGGCGAGATGGAGGCTCGATGAGCTTGACGATGAAGAGCGCTGGGCAAGGGGATGGACAAACGCATGTGGCGAAGCTGTCGGAGGTGAAAGATTCGGCATACTGGCGCGGTGGCCAGACGAATCTGGAGATGCTTGACTGGAAACGTCCAAAGGTGTCGGTGCGTAACCCGCAACAGATTCTGCCACGGTGGTGGTCGTGTCACGAGATGGCGCTTGATTCGCATACCGATCCAACTCGTTGGCCATTTGTTGAAGTTGGGATTCCCGTGGGTCAATCCATGTCGTCGTGCGGGTAGCATGGTCGACAAAGTAGACACGGCCCTACAATAGACCGCAAGGACATGATTCACTGGTATCTGTGCAAGCTTTCGAACGTGCCTGGGGATCTCGAAGCTCTTCCCACCCAGGGGGCAAAGGCAAAGTTGACGGCGGCGTCCATGACGTCTATACAGAGCTATGAACTTGGAATGGCCAGTCGGGACGCTGTACCTCCTTGGTCTCGTGATTCACATAAAACACTCGACCTTGGGCATCTTCCACCTGCTCCCAACCTAACGCATGGGTGCAGTGACTTGGCGCCGTCGCAACAGCGCCAGTACCTGGTGCCAGCATGACGAATTTCGGTCTAGGGCATCCTGCTGTATCGTGCCAAACGACGTTAACCGTATCCGGATAATGATGCAGCCAACATTTCGACTGCGAAATCTTGAATTTTTTTGTGAAAATTCAATGGAATGTAACCTTGTCCATGGGGTGTCCAACGGGAGCGACGTCGCACGACGCACGCAGAATTCACCAGCCTCCACGCACGCTCGCCCACGTCGAGCTGTTCTATCGCGCATAGCTGACGAAGCCTTCGACATGTGCCGGCATCCTGAACAAATCACAATACATCGCTCGTCCAAGAACATGCTATGGTCGTCCAAGAATCCATGACAGATCTTACTACGTGCGCGCAGTGTTCACGCAAGGAGGAGTCATGACGCATCCAAACGTATTATGAACGTCGTTGACAGCAAACTCGACTGCATTCGCTCCGCCTGCTGCAGTCGATCGATGCTGGGTGCATCACCTCTCCACTTACCGACCACGAGCATTTGGCCATTCTTTTCAATGGTACTCTCTTATTGTGGAGGAACGCAACGCATGCCCACACTCCGTTTCTAGATCACAGTCGACGGATCGCACGCCGTGATGTTAGCAGCTTCCTTCCAGACGTCAGTCTACAAATCTTGTGCATGACTCCACCGCGGACGACAGTTGCGCCTGATGTGTGCATCAGAGTACCGTCCATCCATCTCGCACTCCATGCACAGCCGTGTGATGACGGCGCCACTCGTGAGCTCAATGGGGACCTGCGCTCGGCCAAATTCATTGTGCCAAGGAGGGTGCCGTGATTACGGAAGCAGACAGATTGCACTTGGCAGGTTACGTCATCGGGGCGTCGAACTTTCTGGAGCGTCCTTGTTCGTTTAAGTACGACCGATAGTTTTTCGCGTCGCATTTTTCAAAAAGTTCGCGTGGAAGGATGGACTTTGACCTGGGGACGCGCGGCAAGAAGCTCCAGAAGGAGCAAGCGGCACGACGAGAAGCTGCTCGACTAAAGATAGAGCGGGAGAAAGCCCTTGCCGACAAAGCGAACCAGCTGCGACGAGAAATGGACGCAGAATCACAACGTCGAAGGGACGAGCAGGCACAACAGGCTGCAGCAGTACGGATGACGTTAACGTTGCATCAGTGGTTCACACGACGTTGGCTAGGAAGAAGAGCGACGCCTGAACGAGCAGCGCGTTACCGGTGGTATCACGTACAAAAAGACTTTGCGTGCAGTTCCCATCGCGAACGACGGCGACAAAGTCACCCTTCCAGTGTCCGCGTTGGAGGAGCTGAACCCGCAAAACGCTTTGGATTTGGGCGTGTTTACTTTCGAATTGGTAGCAAATGGACGCACTAGCCACGCTAGCGTGTTGGAGTTCGTGGCCGACGAGCATACGATCGGAATTCCGCCCAAAGTCGCCCGATCGCTGCACCTTGACGACGCGGTTGTCGACATCTCGGTGCGCTTTGTGCGTTTGACCAAAGGTCGTGCAGTGAGGTTGCAGCCACTCGGAGACGGGTTTGGCGACCGTCAACTCGACATTAAACACCTCCTCGAGCGCACGCTGCACGTACGTCTCTAGGGTGCATGACACACAAGCCTCATTCGTCTCGCAGACCCACACGACGCTGACCGAAGGCGACATCCTCCTTGTTCGTCACGGCAAAATGACGTTTGATGTGGCCGTGAAGAATATCGATCCGGAACCGCAGGTACGTGCATGCCCTGCCTACAAATGTCGTGACATGTTGATGGTTGGGCACCGCAGGTGACCATCCTCAACGTGGACTTGGAAGTCGACTTGCTTCCAAGCGAAGCCGTGGAACGACGACTCGCCGCCAAGCAGCTTGCTGAGCAACAAAAACTCGCGGCAGAGCAAGCCCTGCAACGCAGCATCCAGGTAATCGCAGTGTGATCTCCCCGATGCCTTCCTTCAAATCGTTCAATTCTTGTGCAGGAAGCCGCCCAACGTCAAACCGATGCGCTGGCGCGCCTTCCCGACGAAGCACCCGCGAACGAAGGCATTAAGCTTATGCTTCGAACGCCAGACGGGTCCCAGCACGTTCGCCGTTTTCACCTGTCCGACTCTGTCACCAGCGTGTATGATTTCATCACAAGCGCGACTGGTATGGACCCGCTTACGTTCCGTGCAACGACAAACTACCCCCGACGAGTGATTGAGCACTCGACGATGCAGCTCAAGGACGTTGGTTTTGTCGGACGCCAAGAAGCGGTGTTTGTGGAGCGCATGACGACACCGCCCCCGGAACCCGTCGCGGAAGTCACAGATGTCGACATGGGGCCCGGCGGCAAGGAAAACGTTCCGACATTGGAGACGCCATGGGGGGCGGCGCTTGCCCAGTGGGAGACAAAACAAGATGAGGTCCGAGACTACATGTTCGATGTCGGAGTGGGCTGGATGCTGTCCAAGTGCTTTTCTGTTGGCTGGCAACCGCTTTCATGGTCACGGTCGTATTCATTTGGAATGTCGATGCTGTAGGCACTGTTCACCTCCGACGCTGTGCCAGTCCATGCCATTGAACCTGTGTTGCCGACCGACGTGAATGGCAGTAAGTGGGGCGCCCAGCTCACCGAGCTCGAAGCGATGGTACCTCGCCTGCATTTGCCTTCGACGCCCCTAGTCTGATGCTGTGTTAGGGTTTTGTTGACCGCGACTTGAATGTGCAAATCCTAGAGAAATACCAAGGCCGTCTGCTGCGGGTCGTCAACTACTTGTCGGAGCTCGCCGTGCAAGACTAAGCGATAACAAGGCAGTGCTGCCGTCGAAAGATATCTCCGTTCGTGAAAAATACGTCAACCATGCTAAAACATGTCGGCGATCTCTTCGAGTTCTCGGGCCTGCCGAATGGCGCGCTCGTGTGCCCGTTTGAGATCGTCGACGTTTGTGGACCATTTCGGATGATGGAGGACGACGTTGCATGCCTAGAAGGCTCCACTGAGTCGTGCTCCCGCCGACGAGACCACGAACCTTGCAGCCGTGGACAAACGGGGGGCTTTGCAGGATTGCGCCGAGGCACGCGTGGTGGTACCAGTGACCACAGTATGCTTGGATCGGCTGCATGGTGTCGCTGACTTTGGTCAATGGGTCCGACCCCAAGATCGGCTCGTTGCACGACTAAGCACAACGCGGTCAGGTATGCGTGAGGGTGTAGCTACTTTGCAACGCACGACGCACGCAGTGTCGGCCAGCCCAACGAGACATTGCGTCCACAAGAACGTTTTCACCACTGGAATCAAGCTCTTGACAGCGACGTCGAGAGGAGCGTGGTGCAATATACCACCGTCTTGCGCGTAGTACATAGGGGCAATGCTATCGCGCGGTGACGCCTACACAGGCATTTGGTCGTTCTCGCTCGTCGACCTGCAAGAGCCTTTGATGTGTACTTTGATGGCCACTTTTGCCGCGGCCTTCCTTGGTCCCGATTTCTTGGCTGGGGTCGCCTGGACACAACAGATCGAACCACGCAATGCAACCATGGTGGAGGACCACTCACTTCGTCCGCGATGGCTTCGACTAGACTGACGGGCTTCTTGATCGGATTTGATGCAAACAGCGCTTGTTCTGCCGTGTACCCCTTCGCCAACATCACTCAGCGGACGAGAAAACGAGAAGTCTCCACCTGGACGATTCGAGCAACCATGTCGTTGACCTGCTTAGTCACTAACGCAACGATCGAAGCTGGAACGACGTGTGAACCATGGAAACTCGGTGGCGGGACGTACGTGGAAGGTTCGATTCGTCACACGAAATGGCGATCGGCGAGTCTGGATAATGGTCGTCCAGTTTGATGTTGGCCTGGTCCCGTTAAGCCAGCGAACAAGAACGACCGAAGCAAACGTACGTGGAAGAAATACGCCTTGTGCCGCAGGAGCAGCTTGATGCGGCCAGTCCGTTCGTTGAGCTTGATGTCGCCGCCGTTTTGCTCGGCCAGCAAGCGCAACTGCCGCACTTCGTCGAAAGCGTACAATAGTTTGTTGTCTGCGAGTGAAGACAGGATCAACTCGACGACGGCTTGGACTTGAGGCTGCCCCGCCTTGGCCAACTCTGTTGCCTAGGATGGACCTGTGATCCTCGCTGGACACAGCAATTGGACCAGCGAACCTTGGCATCCACAAACTTTGTCATTCGGCGCAAGGCGAAGTCAGGCAATGTGTCGCTTGTGAGCTCGATCACGAGTGCGTCGTTCGGGTACGTGTCTGGAAAGCGCAAGCGAAAGCGTAGACGGCGATACCGAGTGTATCTAGACGCAGACACAGCCATGAGAGGATTCGTCGCGGCTTCCTGACGAAGAACGCGCACTGAATGGTTGCTTGGAGCTGTTCAAGACAGCAGGATTCGATGCCAGCCGCTGGTACGAGCTTCTGGAACACGTCCACTTCATCTTGGCGGGTCATGATGGTGCTTCAAGTCCAACAATCACACGTGTGGAGTATACACACCTTTTTTAAAATATAATACGAATATATACTGTACGTGGTTTTGGTTGATCCAGTTCAAATAATCAGCTTGAACAATAAATACAAAAATTGATTTAGAGATAAAGAATATAGAATTATCGTAGCACATTTATAAAAATTATAGGAACTATTATGAATTCCCTACTAAATGATCAGCGTCGATCCGAGAAACTCGAGGAGCGCGACCTTTGGCACAATGCGTTGGTAGGCGATGTGTCGACGTCCTTGGAATCCCTGACAACTTGAGATCGCCATTCGTCGCGGGTACAGCGCGACCGTCTCGACGAATCCGGGGAGTGAGGAGTTTGCCAATAGGCGGTTCCACCGTTTGCCCGCGAGCTTGAGCAGCTGTGCGTCGGTTTGCTAAGCCCAACGACGACTAGTGCGCCCCAACGCTGTCAAGG